AAGTAGTGATATTGTTTACCTTCTAATATATTTATTGAAGATATGGGTATCTTATTTTATGCTATGCCCATTTAAAAAATTTATCCAGTTTTTCTTTTACTTATTGGCTTCTGGGGACTCTTTATATATTTTAGATATATATTCTAAGTCCTTTGTTAGATATATGCATTGTAAAATAAATATTTTCTCTTGAACATGGCTTCCGTTTTTACTTTCTGTTTGTTTGTGACGGTGGTAACATTAAGGACCTCTGGAATGTGTGCATGTGTGTGTCAGTGTGTGTGTGTGTGTGTGTGTAGGGAAAAGTATAACAGTGGGATGTCAAGGAAGTGAGGATAAGTGAGATGACAGTGGAATAAGGGGGGAGGGAGGAGAATAAGCAAATGAAGGGAAAAAACAGTGAACAGGAAAAGAGGTAAGTGTGTAAGGTGGAGAAGAAAATGGAAGGGGGAAACGGACACAGCTTGATAAAGGGAAAGCACGTGACAAGAATGACACTTAACCTGCAGGGCAGTTTTACTTAAAGACGAGGACAGTTGTCCCTTGAATACTGAATGCTAGCAAATGGGACATCCAGGCACTAAGGAGGCAGACAAAGAAATGTTGAGAATGAAATGACAGTATGTTTGTGGTGACCCACAGCAGAGTAGTAAGTGGTTAAGATTGAATTTGCAGCCTGCCTCACTACTTACTAGTGCTGTGGCCTTGGAAAAGTTACTTAACTACTCCAAGTTTCTAATTTTTCAAGGGGAAAATAGGAATAATGGGAGTACCTACTTTACGGGTTTGTTGTGAGGTTAAAATACTTAGTAAGTACTTATTATATAATAACATCACCTACTGCTACTGCTACGCTTTTTGGGGAAAATATCAGAACAGATCATGTTTGTTGTTTTGAATTTGTAGTTTCCAATAAGAAAACCGTAAGTCTATATTTTGCTCTTGATATTTGTCCACAGACATGCCATGCTTTCAAGTACAGTTCAATTATGTTTGAGATTAGAGTGGAGGTCCTCTCTACTTCTTCTTCCTTGCTTCATCTCTATAACAACTCTTGCTGACTTCTATGTATTTGTCCGGCCAGAATCCTCAAGAGGAATTAGGAGCTTTTGCTGGCTGCACCTCTGATCCTGGCTTGCTTTTCCAGGCTGGTCCATGTGCCCCCAGATGCTCCGAGGAGGTTTAGCTTTCCACACATGTGGAGATTGCTCCCTGCACAGAGGTAGGAAGTTAAGGGAGCAGAGACCTAGTAAGGAGAGGTAATGCTAAATCTCTCTAGCTGTGTTTCATTGCTTCATCAGCTATAATAAAATGAGAGCCAAAGAGCAAGTTGTTCCCTTGTGACATGTTGACACACCTCTGGATGGATGTATATGTGGGGATATGGGTGAGTGGAGAATAGGAAGAAAGAAAAGAAAAGAAAAAGAAAGGGAGGGGAAGAAAAAGAAAATGAACAGAATTTAAAGGAAGAAATGGTCACTCTTGGAAAATAAAATAAACTCCCCAACACAGGGGGAAGAATTACATTAGTCAGATAAGGTTTCATTTTACAAGGATCTTCCAGAAATACTTCCATGAGTTATGTGCCATGCACAGAGGAGCTATTTCAGATACCAGTTAAACATTGATTTTCTGATGAACTACCCATCATCTAGTGTTCTTGAGTACACACAGTACATTAGAGAGAAGATAAAAAATGTAATTTTGTATGTTTTGTTACTGAGTCAAAATCCAAACAAAGTAAGAAAAGCAGAAACTTAGTTAAAGCAGACATACCTGATCTTTGATATTTGGTCTTAAAAAGACATTAACAGGGCGCCTGGGTGGCTCAGTTGTTAAGCGCCTGCCAGGGTCCTGGGATCAAACCCCACATCCGCGGGAAGCCTGCTCCTCCCTCTCCCACTCCCCCTGCTTGTGTTCCCTCTCTCGCTATGTCTCTCTCTGTCAAATAAATAAATTTTAAAAAAAGGCATTAACAGCGGGCATTCCGTATTTGGAATATTTTGGATCTAAGGACTTATGAAGCCAAAGGGTTGTGTTTCATAGTGTACCCACAAGACTTGCACCTTCATATTGGATATGTGTACAGTTTTTGAGAGATTTATCTGGTAAGTTCTTGTTGAAAGTTATGTGGAAGATCTATAGGCAAAACTTTCCAAATTGAAAATTGGGCACATATGATTGTGATTGTGAAATATTCCTTAGAAATACAGTTTTCTTGAGCAGGATTTGGGGTTAAAAGTAATGACTGCAGAAACAAACTGAGGGTTGCTGGACATTCCTAGTCTTTGTTTCTTGTTGGTCACTCTTGTCCATGGAATCTCCTGGCTGCCTTCAGGTACAGACAAGTTACCCTGGTTTTATTTCTCTCAAAGACAAATTCTTTCCTCCAAAATCCTGAGTATTTTACAAATGGTAAGCACAATTCCGCTTATACTTGATTCTTAGATTCTTCTTAAGAAGGAAACAAACTTTGAACCAACAGAAGTGCTACCATACAGACAATTCTGAATCTCTAAGTTCTTTGGCACTTAGAGACTATTTGTTTTTAGCAACACATTCAAATTTAATTAAATCAGTTTGGCTTTTACCTGAGATTTTTAATTATGCACATTGCCAACTATATAGAGATATATTAGATATACTGCATCATTTTCTTTTAACAGCAGATGATATAACATAAGGTTTGAATAAGAAATCATGGTTAGCCACCAATTTTTTTGAGATACCAAAGGTTAACTGAACGTATCACAGGCTTAAATTAGTTTAATTTTAATTACAAATATAATCCCTTCTTACTCAAATGTAGAAAAAGCAAGATAATGATACTAAGATATATCTGCTGTGCAGAACAGAGTTAACATCAGGCCTGTGACTATTATCTTTAGAAAAGCTTGTTTGAAAGGTTGGCCCTAGAAACTTGGATTTCAGGAGGGTGCCCACCATTCCCTGAATGGTAAGAGCGGTTCACTGTGCCTAAACTGGTTCTGCCAAAAAATGTGGTTTGTGCTGAATGACTGCTTTCCTTCTGGGAATCTGAAATTTAGGCACATATAGCTAGAGGGTGCCTAAGTGACCAGCTCCCAGTAAAAATTCTGGGCACTGAGTCTATTTTTTATTTTGTGGCTTCTTTTTTCTTTGTTGTGCTAAGAACTCTTAGCATGAGATCTACCCTAGTGACAAATTTTTAAGCACACATAACAGTATTGTTCTCCATAGGCAGAATGTTGTACAGCGGATCTCTAGAGCTGATTCATTTTGCATAGCTGAAACTATATACCCATTGAATAGCAATTTCCCACTTCCCCTACCCCAGTTCCCTGCAAGCCCCCTTCTACCGTGTCCATGAGTTTCACTATTTTAGATTCCTCATATAAGCACCGAGTCGTTCACAAATTTCTCTGGCAGAAGGCTTCTACACATTTCACATGTGCTGTCACATCTCATTTCTAGAGGAATTAAGTGCATCCTGTTTGACTCCACCGGGACTGGAGACTGGAAGCTTGTGTCTGGTTTCCTCTAGATTTTGCCCTATGTGCCTTTTTCTTTTCTGATTTTGCTTTGTATTCTTTTGCTGTAATAAATCTCAGCCATGAATATGACTATCTGCTGAGTACTGGAAGCTCATCTAGCAAACCATGGAAACTAGGGGTGGTCTTGGTGACCCCTGACACCCCTGATATCTGGGAATCCTACCCTCTACACAGGTGAACAGTAGTGGTATTGATCCCAATGGGAGGGGAAATCAGTTTTTTGAGATAGTATTTTTCAAAGAATGTTCAGGTCAAGCTGCCATACAAAATTCCCAAAGGCTTTAGTGTGTTTGATGAATAGGTATACACTCTTCTTTATATACATGATTCATTAAAAACCAAAACCAATATGAAAAACAACTAAACAAATATTTCCTCTTTCCATTGATGCAAAGAAAGAATTTGCTATATTCTTATTTACCTAGTAGTAATTTCTTTATACCTTTTAATAACACAGGCCCTTTGAACTGGTCTGTAACAATTCAAACAACTAAATTCAGCATCTTAGAGGACAGTTATTAGCAAAATTTCTCCTGATCACAACTTTTCTAACAACTTTTAAGAAAATCCAGAAGTACCTTCTCAAAATGGGGAAGAATCACATTTGCCAAATAACAAATTGCTTTGTTCTTGTAATCTTAGGAAACGCTCTAGAGGCTTTCCAAGTATGGGCCAATGGCTTCCTCCTTTCTTTTCTATTCAAGCTTCTTAAAAATGCAGCTGAACAAAAGAGCAAATAAGGGGTGTGCCCATTATCCATACTTTCTTTCACAATGTGTTACCTGGTGACATTGCTCTTAGAGAATAAAAACTCTATTGGTAAAGAGCAGAGAAAGAACAAAAACACAAGTACTTTGCAAAGATGGAGATATGTTATTGCATGATAGAGACAGTGACTACATGTGATCCTTCCACATGTACTAATGCTAAATAAAAGCACCTCATGCTGGGAACTGAAACAGTATTCTAGTAACACCTCAAAGTGTCAAAGGCCGAATTACTAGACTCATGAATATAAGTGCATATTTCCTTTGATTCTCATTACAGGACAATCTATTCTTGATTCCAAATTTGTTTTACATGAATGAACACTGCCTACCGTTTCCAGATATGTATGCCTATGTGGTAATTTGTCCATTAGTTCTCATTTGTTAAGGATTTTTTATTAAATCACATATGACCAATATTAATTTTCTAAGTCCAAGTCCCCTTTCCTAGATGCTTATGATCATTTACCAATACCTTTTCAATTCCTCCATGTAAAACCGTTTGACTAAAACAGCTTCCCCTGCAGAGATAGAGACATTACCTGAGGGAAAATGACCCTTCTTTCTTCAGGCTCTAGAAACCCCATTTTCCCCCCACTCAAATCAAGCAATGAGCCACAAAATCTCAAAAGACCAAAGATAACAATCACCATCCAAAATACAAAATGGGAAAACGTCGCCCAAAGGCACTCACCCACTGGAGTCTGCAGAAGTGATAGCAATCAGCGGTAGAATCTTCAGGGGAAGGCTGGTCGGTCTTGGAATGTTCTCTGATTCACTTTTCAAGTCTGCTTGTTCCAACTGTCTGAAGGCAAGAGGGGGAAGCTGAACATTGCGGCAAGAAAGTCTCCGTACAAGATAGGGTTCCATTCCTCGGAAAGGGTCTTCCTCTTCATTACTGGAATGCAGTGTTTCCTCAGAGGCCTAAGGCAAGAGTTGAAGAAAGTACAGTTCTCAGTGAAAGTCCCAGCACTGAACAATACATGATAGCTCTATACTTCTGGAGAAAGAAACTAAGGGAAAAGTATACATGAAAAATGCTAACTATGAAGCAACAACACTAACAGAACAATATTTGGTGACAAGATTAGAATAACTGAAATCTATATTTATTTTTAAAACGGTAAATTTGTTCACCAGTATATTTAGATATGGCTCAGTTGTTACAGTTAACTGACATCTCCAATAATTTTAGAATTTATGAGCTTTGTGCATGAATTCTGTAAAATCAAGGGCAAGTCAAAATATTTTTCTGCCTTCTATAAAATGACTTACAGAAAATTCACACGTATATCTTGACATATGACGTATCTATACCTACATGCCTATGAAAAGCTAGGGAGAAAATGAGTCCTATTCTTTTTCTCCATACTTAGGACCATACTTGTAACACATTTTCATATGGTTTGTGTTACTTGGATGAATATTCTTTGCAAACTTTTATCGTAAGACTTTGTGAGGGGAATTTAACAAAAAAGGACATGAAAAGAAAACTGGGTACCCAGTAGAATTATGTTAAAATCATAGTTGAATTTTGTAAATTAGATCTTTATTATCCACATGCAAGGCAAATCAAGTCTAGAATAAAGTAGAAAATTTAATATTTTGATGTTAGTTGGAAAAAACATACTGTTACATGAGCAATTATTATTTCCCAGTGGTTGGAAAATCTAACAATGTTTATTATATCCATGTCCTCAGAATGATAGAGTCACCAAATGTTACCAGGTAACATGCTGGGTTTTAGTCTTTGTGTTGCCACTTAGCTGTGTTCTTAAGAGTGCTGCTTCATCTCCCTGAGTTTTCTATTTCTTTATTAGAAACATAATAAACTGCATTGCTCATTACCTGCAATGTGATAAACAATCATAAATAACAATTTTGTTTCCTTCTGAACTTTAAAGGTAAAGTAACTAGTCAAGGGAGGCAAAGTACTTTTCCCAAAATTAACCTGTCCATTATAACTTAAAAACTGACTTTGGGGAGCCCATACCTAGCTTAGAATTTCTATTGTATTCCTTATTATACTACTATCTTTGGACAAGTAAGGTTGGTTCTTCATTTGAACATTTAGGATAGTAATTTTTACCTCTCAAGGTTATTGTCTGGAACAGAGATATGAAGTATTTAAAGTACCAATATCTGGCACAGTTTGTACTCAACAAAATGGCAGCTACTATTATTATAATCCAGGTTAATTTCCTTTATATTTTCACAGAACTATGCTGCCTTTGATACTTCATTCATCTATATCAGTTCCACATAGAAAATTTGTCTTTTTCTGGCTTATATCTTGAAAAATGTAAAAGGATATGCAGTGGTGTACTCTATTCAGCCTTTCATTTTATTATCTAATTTTATGGATAAATAGAATAAAATAAGGGCACCAAAAAGGTAAAGAAGATGTCTAAGCTAAAGTCAAAGTTCATTTATTTCAAATCCTAGATACGAAGATCCAGATTCTGAAAATCTGCGCTCTGAGGAATCTTCTTGATTTGTGAAACATTAACAATAATAGCTTCAAAAAGAAGTCAATCCTACCATATGACCCAGCAATTGCACTACTGGGTATTTACCCCAAAGATACAAATGTAGTGATCTGAAAGGGTATGTGCACCCCAATGTTTATAGCAGTAAAAAAAAAAAAGGAGCCAATCCTGACATTTGCAACAACATGGATGGACCTTGAGAGCATTATGCTAAGTTATACAAGTCAGAAAAAACAAATTCTGTATGATCTCACTTATATGTAGTACCTAAGACAGAAAAAAAAAAAAACCTCACAGAAGAAAGAGATCCAATTTGTGGTTACCAGAAGTGGGGGTACAGGAGGGAGGGGAAACTGAATGAAAGTGGTCAAAAGGAACAAACTTCCTGTTATAAGATAAATACATACTAGGGATAGAATGTACCACATGATAACTTCAGTTACCACTGCCATATGATATATATGAAAGTTAAGAGAATAAATCCTAAGAGTTCTCATCATGAGGAAATTTTTTTTTCTTTTTCCATGCAGTATCTATTTGAGATGATGAATATTAACTAAATTTATTGTGGTAATGATTTCACATTTGTAAGTCAAATCACAGTGCTGTTACACTTTAAACTTACATACTGCTCTATGGCAATTACATCTCAACAAATCTGAGAAAAATTTTAATAATAATAATGACTAATATTTGTTGAGTCCTTATTAAATGGTGCTGTATTTTACATATACCAACTCGCAAATTTTACTGAAATCCTCTGAGTTAGATGCTGTTACTTCTCCCATTTTACACACAGAGAAAGAGAAACCTATAAAACAGCAGGCCTGCATCACACAGCCACGTGGTGAGCAGGGTAACCCTTCCGGTTTGCCTGGGACTTTTGGTCTTAGCAATGCAAGTTCCAAGTCTGGGGAAATCGCCAGACCCAAACTAGGATGGCCAATTACCCTTCAGTCAAGATCCAAAACCAAATCTCTTTTAGTTAAAGGTGGAGCTAAGAACAACTGTGTTTTACTACTTCTAACAAGTATAGTAAGGCAGGGTGCAGATTACTAGAAGAGAACAATTACTAATTGACCAAAATTTAATAAGCTTCACATTTTCATTGAAATCATAACAACAGCAACAACAACAACAGAACTGAGATCAGGACAGTCTTACATAAACACCGAAAATTAATAATAATCCTTGTTGATTAAATCAGGAGATAGAGTTTCTAGGATAATTACTTTTGTGGTGTTAAGGGGTCATTGAACCTTTCTGGGCTTTAGTTTCCTTAGATATAAAATTGAGAGGTTGTACAAAATGAACCGTAAGACCACTTTCAGTTTTGAATACTCTGATTTTATAATAGCCAATGGCAAAATCAATGTGTAGAGAGAAGGCAAGCACACAAAATAAAAAGAAAAGGTAATAAATGTAACATTCTTGGCCTTTAGATTGAGAAAGTGAGCCTCTATGTGTTTGTGAAGTTCTGTGTCTTCATCTAAGGACGTAAGTGCAAAATGAACCCACATTCTGGGATTGCTAAAAGGTCATAATTTGCCTTATACATTTCTCAAGAGCAGTTAATGACTGAAGTGTACGGATACCCTTCTTCGGGATGAATATGGAAAAGAACAAGGATGAGTCTAGCAGAGCTGAACACTGAATGTAACTGGCCAAAGCTAATATATTTTTGTAAGTGCCGAGCTGCCCACTCTGACAGTAGCATTGCTACTGCAAAAATGCTTTATATAACCCAGGCTATCTGATGAAAGACTCAATGTTTGTGACATTCTCTTTTAGATAAAACCACCTCGAGAGGTAACCTCTTTTGAGAGAACAACCTCTATTAAAAATAAAGTGTAGGGGCACCTGGGTGGCTCAGTCATTAAGCGTCTGCCTTTGGCTCAGGTCATGATCCCAGGGTCCTGGGATCGAGCCCCGCATCGGGCTCCCTGCTCTGCGGGAAGCCTGCTTCTCCCTCTCCCACTCCCCCTGCTTGTGTTCCTCTCTCGCTGTGTCTCTTTCTCTGTCAAATAAATAAATAAAATCTTTAAAAAAAAAAATAAAGTGTAGTATTTTTATCTTGACAATAAAAATGATAAAACAGTATATCCTAACATTTCCATTCAAAAAACAGTATGACAAATGGCTCTTTAAAAATTCCAGATCAATGTGTATCAATATTTCAAAAATAAATAGAACAACTGTATCTGGTAGAAGGCAGAAGGTTAAATGGCCTTATTTTGGAAAGAAATGTAAAACTGACCACTAGGACACATATATCTTATTGCTGGAAAATGGCATTTTTGCAAAGGTTGGAGGGATAAGATAGTATTTATATTATCTCTAAGCCATTATTTCTCAAAATGTGATGCCCAAACTCCCTGCATGATAATAACAGATGGTGCTTGCTAAAATTCAGACTCCCAGGCCTTATTCCAGAACTGCCTAATCAGAATCTCTCTGACTAGGGCCTAGAAGTCTGAATAAGTCCCCAGGATGATTCCTATGCATACTAATATTTGGGAACTAATGGCTTTGACATTTTAGACATAGTCCAATAACACTGGCAAAGATCCAAGTACAAAGATGTTCATCCCATCTTATTTATAATAACCAATAACTGGAAGTAATCTAATTGTTGTATTGAGGGATTGGCTTAATAAATTTTGATTTATCATATTATGAAATACTATGAGGTTGTTAATGCAGAAGGATATGTGATTATGTTTATGATATAACATCGACTAAGAAAAACAGATTACAAAATGATCTTATTTTTGTAAAACTCTGCTGAAACAAACCAAAATGAAAAATCAACATATTATATTCATAGAAAAATTCTGAAAGAATATATCCCAATTATCTAAAATGTCTTTTTCTGAGTGATGGCATTGGTGGTGATTTTCATATTTTTATTACTTGTTCCTATATTCTCTATAAAAATGTATTACTTGGGGATTAAAAAGTACAGTGAGAGTCTCAATAATAAAATGAAACAACATTCATCTTGTTATTAATGGGACTCATAAATACCACTTAATCTGCTTTAAGATATACAACATCAAAAGAGAAAAAATACTAACATGTTTGAATGAGTTTAATGAAAATCTGTTAACTTGTAATAAAATGAAATTCTCTTTGGCAATTAAATCATTTGTTTGGAATAGCTGACCGAAAAAAATAACTTTGAGACAATTCTTTTTACTGTTAGGACAAATATGTCTCTGAAAGTCATACCTAAAGAAAATAATTCCACAATAATAACACTTAAAATGAATGAGTGAGCATTAAATATGTTGTCACCATTATCATTGTTATTATTTTCCTTTCCGTTTTCTTCAGCTTCTATGAAGGGTATTTAATTAATTTCTTTGTTCTTTTTTTTCCATCCCAAAGTAGATATCAAATCAGTTTACAAGGCCCTAAGAATAGGAACATATA